AGTTAGGCGAAGGAAGGGAGGCGTGAGCATTGTGTTCGATTTAAAAGTCACGAAAGGACGTTCGCTTGCGCAGATCCAACTTAATAAAGTCAAGGGACCGAGCGAGTGGAGACGAGCGTTGCCTTGTAACTGCTAGAGCTCTAATATATAAATTGCTGGAAAAGAAACGGAGAATCAGTTCTATTTATCCAGTAGGAAACAGTTCTGTTGTTGAAAAGATCTCTTATATAGCATTTTCGTCTCTTCTTTCTTATATAAAAAAACTTCACCTTCAGAGCAAACCCATGGCCAAGTTCATAAAAAACAAAGTAATGTTGTATAATGATTCTTATTATGGTGACTTTTCGCTTGATGTAAGTAATGTGAGCCGTCACGCGGCTCAACGAGCGGAAGAACGAAAAATTCCTGTAGTAGAATGTGTAGACCGTTGTTTATTATTGACTCAGATAGAAACTTCAAGAGAAAATCAATTTTTCGCTTAATACATGATTTACTACTAGAAAAAAAAACTAAGTCACCAACTCGCAATTTTAGTTTTTGAATTTAATTTAAAATTAAAAAATTCAACCTTTTTAAAACTGAAGTAACTCAGCTTAGAAAAGAGATGGAAACTTGGTTCAAACATGGTTGGATAGAGAATTCAAACAGAACAGGGTGTAAATCAGGTTTATTAGCTACTGTACGAACAGACATAAAATGAAATGCAACATCACGATCAGTTGAATTTGATAGGAAACTATTCAGTGACAAATATTTTCCTATAATTGATTTCATTTGATTTAATTCCGCTGCTGATAGCAATTGACCACGATAGACATGAGATTGCAGCGGCTATTCGCAGAATGTAGTTCTTCCAACTGTTGATACAAATCCGAGATAAAAAAACAATATATAATCAATGTATCAATATCATTTGTTCTCAATGCTCTATTTAACATTCGATATAGAAAACTGTCTTTAGTATACCACCATACGGCTGTTTGAGAAGAATAGGTTTCTTCGAATTCTTTCAAATTTTTAAATTCACGATCATTTTTAGCATACGTTAATTTACATAAGTCAATTAAATCTTGTCGATCTTCTGTTTTATGTTTCATTTGTAGTAAAAGTTCAATAAAAAGTTGAAATCACAAAAATATACCATCTAATTCCGACGATGTTTTATTTGTATTGCTAGTGTTGGTAGAAGTAGAAGTGGAACTGCTACTCTTGTTTACTATAGATGACATTGTTAACGTTGTCTGTTCTAATTTCTCACGCATCGCCTGATCTTCAGCAATTTTTGAAATTAAGTCGTCAGCGTTTGTTACAATACCACAAACCTAGAAGACAAGGGAGATTATTGGTTAGAAGTAGTGTAGAAGTGCAAATAAGCTCTTTTTATAGTCTCAAAATTTTACTGAATGTTTTCCAAGGTGATTTATAAGTCTTAGACAATCTCTCACTACTCTACTACACTGTCTCATCATGACAATAGAAGAAAAACGGACAAACTGTTAGTCATTCCCGTCTTTCGGAATGTAGTGATAAGTTTGAGATCTGTAGTAGCCATAATAGGCGTGTTACATCAGGAAACTATCTCCGGAACTACCGGACCAAATCCAATAAAATCAGTGTTTAGAGGTTTCATGAGGCCCTCTTCCTTTTCGTCTCTAGCAAGTTTTCTTCAAAACCCTCGGAAGTACGACTTCCACAAAACTCTGACATTTGAGCTATAGTAGTTGAATTAAAAGAGTTTTAAAAATCAGCATTAAGAGATGGAACATTTTAAATAACATATTTGGATTTAGCGGCTAAAGGCGAACATTTTGAAAAAAACTAAGTCTCCAACTCGCAATTTTAGTTTTTGGATTTAATTTAAAATTTAAAAATTCAACCTTTTTTAAAACTGAAGTAACTCAGCTCAGAAAAGACATGGAAACTTGGTTCAAACGTGATTGGATGGAGAATTAAAAACTGAAAAAACGGAGGGGATTTACCAACTTTTGATGATCAGTTTTCCAGAAAACCAATCGAAAAAGCCAAAATAACCTTTTGAATCAGGCATTTTATATAGCACTAAAAACTGTCTATGATACCCAAATTTTAGCTTGTCTGTGTGAAATTTCACAGAATGACAGAAGTTTCAAAATACAAGTTATGAGCGCTTTCAAACAGAACCATTACTTCTGTGGAAAACCCACACTAATGTCTGGAAAAGTTTTGATATACTGAAATTTCGGTATCATAGACAGTTTTTAGTGCCCTATAAAATGCCCGATTCAACACATTATTTTGGCTTTTCCAGTTGGTTTTCTAGAAAACCGGTCTCTGGAAAATCGATTATCAAAAGTTGGTAAACCCCTCTGTTTTTTCAGTTTTTAATTCTCTATCCAACCACGTTCGAATCAAGTTTTCATCTCTTTTCTAAGCTGAGTTACTTCAGTTTTAAAAAGGTTGAAGTTTTAAATTTTAAATTAAACTCAAAAACTAAAATTGCGAGTTGGAGACTTAGTTTTTTTCAAAATGTTCACCTTTAGCCGCTGAATCCAAATATGCTATTTCAAATATTTCATCTCTTGATGCTGATTTTTAAAGCTCTTTTAATTCAACTACTATAGCTCAAAAGCCAGAGTTTTCTGGAAGTCGTATTTCCGAGTGTTCCTGAGATAGCCTAGATCAACTTTTTCGCGTAACACGCCTATTACACACTACGTACTTTATCTTTGTGCAACACTGTCTATTCTTCTTCTTCTTCATTTACCACTTTGTCTCGACAGTAAGTATAAATTGCAATGATTTGTGGTAGATCATAAATACGTGGTACAATTTCTTTAGCATAACTACCGCCAGAGACAATGAAAATAATTTTCTCGTCCTCTTCCAATTGTCTTCGTCTTCCGTTATACTGTTCAGATGAGCTAATATCATTAAATTTTTTAAAAAAATTAATTATTTGCATTAATTTTTTTTGTGTTTCTAAATTCTCTTCCGTTGTATTTGAAACATCTTTATCTAACCATACTAATGAAAATATTTCAACATTTTTCTCTTCATCACTGCTGGTTATTGCTGCGCGTGATACACTAGTTGTTGCTGTATCTTCTACTGCTGCTGTAGTGTCATTGGTGTTGTTCCTAGCAATAAACGCAGTTGCAAATGGAACAGCAGAATTTGTAGTAGCTGCTAAGGACATTTCTGTTGCACTCATTTTGCGATTGTAATTGGTGGTAGCCGAGATTTCATCTCCCATTTCGTAGTAGCAGAAAGAGGAAGATCTGTATTTTAAAAAAAAGTGGTTTTTTAAACATTTAACTCTGATTTCAAAGTTGCGAAACAGAGTTTACACGGGTATATTTTAAGAATCGTTTTGTGAACCAAAGGAACTGTTTTTATATTTCACACATATTGAACTAAAGCAGCAGTATAAAAGAAAAAGGTCAGAAGTACATACATCTTAGTCGTTATGCTTGTCCCACAGAACTTTGAGAAAAAGATTGTTCTAATTATAGATGTATCCATAAGAAGATGTATCCATAAGATGTATTGCATAAGAAGTAAGGTGCGCGCAATTCAAAACTTAAGCAAAATTTTTTTCTTCGATATTTATACATGGTTCAACGCAGCTTCTCGAACTGAATCTGAATATGTGTGTTACAAGGTTTGAAATCAAGCTTTTAGGGCCAAAAACCCGAAACTTTTGAGTTTTTATAAATTTGCTATTTCTTGAAAACGAGTGGAGAACCCGAACACCTAATCTCACAGAACCTTAGACATTTTGTTGTCATGTTCTCCGTCGAAAACTGCATTAGAAAAATATGTTTTTAAAGTTTCGTAAATGTGGGATGGTCGAAAAAACTTTCGCTTTATCGCAGATGGTCAGAATTCCCTCATGTCGGTACAAAAAGCATCAAGTCTGTCAAGACAGGTGAAGAACAAGAAATTTTACCACCATTACTCTCGTCCTCAATGTGTGTAAAAATTTATGTGTCCTTTTCCTTTGATTATTTTTTTCGTTGAGACACAGGTATTTCTTTGACGATATCTTCAATCGGGCAAGTCATTCTCGGATAAAATTTACAGTTTAGAAATAAAATTAGTCAAACTAATCCGAAACAGGTAAAATCTGATGCTGAATCTAATGGTGACATTTACAGAATCTCTGGCATATTTTCAGGAGGTCTCTGGAAAACTCCTGGCTCAAAAGCCGCTTTCTTTTGAAGTATCGCTTGATCTTCGATTCGTTACACAATTTTATATTTTGTAGGTCTGTTAAATAACTCTGTTTACAAGAAAAACCTAAGCCTTCAGATTAGCATTTGTTGCCTTACGATGTGATACCACTTCACCTTTACACAACCTGCTGAAGAAAGTTTCAGCACTGTCTCATACGTATCACCACCACGATATGCTTTCAGTGCTCGCCAAAATCTTCTCAACAACTTGAAATATATTTTTTTTTCAATAAAATTCAATCTGCTTTCTTCCATCAGACGTAGCATACATGAAAATGTTTGATCCGTTCTACGTCTAATATAATTCTTCTGATGACACCATAAACCTATCGACAACAGTCGCAGAAAAAGTGAAAGACAGTGCACTACTTTCTACTCGCTGAATGACATTTTTTCTAAAAGTCAAATTTCGTCTATTTCTTATTATTAAGTCTATTTCTTCTTTGAGAGTTTTTGCTTTGTCAGAAACAAAATTATATGGGAAATTTCCTTCTTATCGATAAGTCGGTGAGAAAAATATGTATAACTTTTCATGTCTGTCATTTACTACAAAAGAATTTTTCGCATTCTCGTGTAATACAGAAATAAGATAAGAGGAAAAGAAATATGATATATAAGTTTTAAATAAATAGGGAAGTTCTCCTTTTGCTTAAATACATTACTGCAAAATATAGTCAACATCAATTTGTAGAGAATTAAATCGCGCATCATTTGAAAACAGATTGAAGTTTTCTCAAGCTTTCCATACGAAAATACAACACTTCCGCCACTACTTTGGGATTGCTCTAAGTATTCATAAGAAAGTGACAAGACGTGTTGTTACTTTCTTATGAATATTTTATCAGAACCAGTCAATTTCTTATCAGTTTCGTGCAGCATCTCATATAAGAATCTTTTCAGAAACTTGCCAAAAATTCTTTCTCTAGGATAAAATCGTTGTCTATTATTGACTCAGATAGAAACTTCAAGAGAAAATCAATTTTTCGCTGATTTTATTTACACTTTACTTGAAAAGAGCCTCAATGGTCTCTCTAAATTGTTCTCTGTTGTCATCATTCTATTGTTCTCTTGTCTTTTTGCTCTGTATATAACCAGTACACTAATCGCACTAGCTTTTAATGTATTATATGCTATATAATACAGGTTTAGCTATTACTTTTTCAGACTTGTCTTCGAATAAACTTGTAGAAGGAAGCTTAGCTGCATTTACGTCGTGCTGCTAAGAATACAATAATACTTTATTTTTGATTCAAATGGATGATGGAAGCAAATAATAAAAAAGGAAAGTTCGTAGTTACTACAAGACCTATTTCTTCTTTGAGAGTTCTTGCTTCGTCAGAAACAAAATTATATGGGAGATTTCCCTCTTATCGATAAGTCGGTGAGAAAAATATGTATAACTTTTCATGTCTGTCATTTACTATAAAAGAAATTTTCGGGTTCTCGTGTAATACAGAAATAAGACAAGAGGAAAAGAAGTATGATATATAAGTTATAAATAAATAGGGAAGTTCTCCTTGTGCTTTAAATACACAAATATAAACAGTTATTGATTATTTGTTCAATGAAGGTTTTTCTTATTGTTGCTGTTATTCTGCAGTTTGCTGATTTTGTCGGTATGTATTCATCAAATATAGACTGTTTTCTGTACTTCACGTGACTTATTTCTTTATAGAATCAGGATGTCTGATGTCACATGCAGATGCTCTTACAGAAGTTCAATCAGTTGGTATAAATCTTTATTCAACTGGTCGTTGTTTTGATCGACAAAATCCAGTTTGTACAAGTCTCGAACAAATACGTTGTACAGTTATACAATGTATAAAACAATTCAAACAACAGAGTAAATGTCCTTTGATAATTACAGGTGGTACTGAAGTTGGAAATGCATCGGGAATTTATGCACATGATAATGGACATAAATTAAATGTTCGATTAACAAAATGTATTTATAAATATATAACAAAAAATTTAGAAGAAAATGGTGTACGAGCAAACGATGGAGCAGAAGAGTTTAAAGATAAACACGGAAATTTATATATTAAAGCATATAACAGATGGGATATGATTTTTACTAAAAAATGTGACAGTTAAATATACATCAGTGTAGAAGCATATCCCGATCAAGGTCTAAAAAGTGGTGGAAAAACCTTTAGAGACAAACTTGTTTTTGTTTTTTCTCATGAATTAGCTACGGTAAATCTGAGGACAGGTTCGTACAGCGCTAACTTCGATGTGTGTATATATATTACAACAACCTTTTTCCATTGAGTTATGACTTTTACACCAAAAGCGTCATAAGCAGAAGTCTCAGCAACGTTATGAATAAAAAAGAGCAGTAATGGGCTGATTATCGTTTTGGACCAAATAGCGCGATTTCCCCCTTCCAGCTGCTGTCTTCAGAAAAAAACATTATGAGAAAGCCATTTATAGCTCAGAAAAGATCATTAATATAAAGTTTTATACGAAAACGATTTACCTTTCTTCCTACCACAAAAACAGTAAACAAATATTTCTATAGGGTTAGGAAATAGTTACTGCACAGAAGTGATTTTTATGATCAAAATTAAACAAAAGAATTTTTGCTACGGCAACAGATACCGGTCCGTGAAGATATTATATATCTTCTGAGTATTTGTCGTTAGTATAGAAAAACATTCGCAAAACATTCTGAGAATCAATGAAAACTGGTTGAACTTGATTCCATCGAAGTGTTTGACCTCTGAAATTTAGAATTTCATTACTGTAAAATATAGTCAACATCAGTTTTGTAGAGAATTAAATCGCGCATCACTTGAAAACAGATTGAAGTTTTCTCAAGCTTTCTATACGGAAATAAATCATCTCCGCCACTACTTTGGGATTGCTCTAAGTAAGAAAGTGACAAGACGCCAAATTCAACCTTTTTTAAAATTGAAGTAACTCAGCTCAGAAAAGAGCTGGAAACTTGATTCAAACGTGGTTGGATAAAGAATTAAAAACTGAAAAAACGTAGCAGTTTTCCAGAGGCCGGCTTTCTAGAGAAAGCCAAAATAATGTGTTGAATCAGGCATTTTATAGAGCACGAAAAACTGTAGTGCCGGAGTTAGTGCCGTACGAACCTATCCTCAGATTTATTGTACCTAATCCACTAGGAAAAACAAAAACAAGTACTTTTTTCCACTACTTTATGTCATTTTGTATATCCCGATCGACATTGTTCACCACGAAAGAACCTCTTACAGTAGAGAAGCACAATCTCGATAATTTTCCAAGTTCAAACACAGATTTTTAATTTTAGCTCTTCATACTTTGCAGCATAAAAAAGAGAAAATAAAAACTTTATACCCCTTGAAAAACTCCACCAGCTGCCTATGTCTAAGACTCTTCATAATCAGGGGCGATTAGGGCAGAAATGTTTTTCTTTTATCGATTTTACCAAAACTCATCGTTTCTAAATTGCAATTTTTATATAAATATGAAAACTTTTATAACTCAGCCAAAATCAAACATTTTGCTTACTTTCTCCTACGGATAACCTTTCTCCCAAAACAGTTTGGAGTATTAAAACTGGTTTACTTTTTTCCCCTAATCTTTTAGCTTGTTCCCAAAAATTTACACACCTCCTGCTTTTTTCTCGCGCCATGGTCCTAATTTTAATAAACAGGCCTTGTGCGCTAGAAAGCACGTTAAAAGTGAAACAATGATATGTTTCGAAACACTAGAACATACATTTTGACGCTACTCTGATGCATTCCGCTGTGTTCAAAATAGTCTTTTTTCGTTGTGTTTGAGGTTAGAAAATTGTCAAGATTTCAACTTCACAGTATTTTCTCTATATTATTTTATTTTGCGTTATACAAGAAAGCGTTTAGTATGTTTTTTTGTAGAGAATGAAATTGCGCAGTTTTTAAAAAAATGTTGCGACAAGGGAAACTGAAAAGTTATTTAGAAAATACAGAGACCACGATTCTTTATGCCCCACCCGTTACTTGATAAAATGTAAACGCAGAGGGTAAAATAGTAATAAATAATCGAGAATATAAGAAATATAACACTGCTATAGAAATCATTTTGAACAAAATACTTTTATTCGTTAGCGAGCTTTCAATGTCTTTCTAACATCATCTTTAGACTGACTAAAATGGAACATTTAACAGAGTTACATACAAAAAGACAAAGATGGCTGTTCTTTCTATTTGTTTTTGAAAAGAAAAACCGTTCGTTGAATTTTGAA